AGGATGAAATGAGTTTTCCTGTTTTGTGGTAACAGGTTAGAAGGCCTTGTATGAGCAAGAGGAAGGAGAAGGAAGCTGAATGAACCCATCCTTTTATAAGGGCCTGACTCTCTGTCATAATAATTCTATGAGGGCAGAGCTTTCATGACCTGATCATCTCTTGAGGTCCCACCTCAAGAGGTGTTAGGGATTAATTTTCTAATGTGGGCATTTGTGGGGATACACTTCAAACCATAGCATGAGGAGATTCTGCTAAATGAGAAAGACTGAATCAAACTCCTAGAGAAAGACACCAACAAAGGCTGCAGAGACCTGTCAGAGGAGATGCTAGGGAGGGATGAGATCATTGTGGATACAGCTAGTGGCTGCTTGAGAGCCTTGTCATGTGGCAGCGTTGATTGCTTATGGCCAGTGGCTGGCAGATGGAGAGAACTTGTGATAAAACATGTTCACTCCCACAGTACAGAATTAGCTAATGTAGAAGCCTGAATGCCTCTTTCTCACTGGGCTTGCCTCAAATGATTTAGAGTCCTATTTCCAAGAGTTGGTTTCTGTGAATTTCTAATGGATTAGAAGTAATCCTTCTGCAGTTCCAGGTCATAGCTACACTTTGTGTTCCTCCCACTCTGGATGGTGGGAAAGTCCAAGATTATGCAGCTGATGAACCTGCAGAAGCAAAGATCTACTCTAGAAATGTCAGCCCTCTGGTTCTTGGACTTCTTCCTGATGCTAACCACCCTGCTGCACCCAGCTCTTGTTTTTTTCCTGATTCCCTCTTCCTAATCCTTCCATTAACCACTTCTTTGTGTATTTATTTCCTTTCCTTTTCTATAGCTGTTTCTGATTTCTTTCCATGTAATTATTTCCCACTTTATCCCTAAAATCATTTAATATGGTAGTCAGACACATGACTAGACACAAGTGGATTAAAAATAAAATAGGTAAGGAAATCAGGTGATGGGAAAAAATGGTGAAAATTATATGAGAACAAGGGTACACTGTGTATTCCCCTAAACTCCTACAATCCCCTCACTTTGCTTCTGAGCTTCTCATTGGACAAAATGGAGGCAGGAATGAACTCATTACATGAGTCACATTGAAAGATGAGACTAGCTTGCTTGTACAGGTATATCTTTCCTGAATATTGGGACTTAATAAATGAAATCCTTTGAGTAAAATGCTTAGAATTAAGGCTAGGCCTGTGGTAGTTCTGTGGCATTTTTCTGAATAGGTAAGACTCATGAGTCAAAGATTTAGTTTTTTTCTTTTATTCTGCATTGACGTGGGGGCAATATTGGTCATTAGCAGCTTTATAGAAGACATAAATGGACATTGCAGCATCAGTCTGACAATTCAGCATGTGTGTGCGTGTATGTGTGTGTGTTATGTGTGTGTGTGTTACGTGTGTGTGTGTGCACTTTTGCACTTGTGTGTGCAGGTGCATGTGTTCTCTGCGGAGGCCAAGGTTGCTGCTTTATTCACCTTACTGTCTAGTCTTGAAAATTCCAATTGGCAAGGAAAAAAAGATTCAGATCTGTCTCTAATTTGAAAGGTGTTTGCATGTGCTTTGCATAACATTAATAGTTAAAACAGTTGGCAAACTTGAATAAGAATTCCATGCCGAGAGTTGGTATGTTTTCTGCTTTGCACTTCAGAATCTGGCCCCACAGTCTACATGTATAATATCAGCTTTGCACATGATGCCCACACTAAGAACATAGGTCTCTCTCACTGCTATCCATCTAGACCATTTCAGAGCCTGCTCATAGAAACAAGTACCAGTGACCTTCCAATTTCATTGTCACTGCAATGATAATGCAGTTTTACAATATTTTTTGACAAGAAAAGTACAAATGACATAAAGAGAAAAATAAATAGTAAATGCCCCTCAAAACGAGTGAGGCAATGAATTTTTTAGAGAAAAAATAATGCAATTTAATTTCCTCAAAACCTCAACCTTGAATCTGTTCTGGCTCATCCAGAAGCCCTTCCTGTCACCAGGCAGTCCCTACTTTCTTTTATCCAAGATGTTTCTAAAAATCAAAGACTTAGATTCCTCCCAATGGTGGGTTCTCAATGAAAATCTAGGCAATGACAGGCCAGGCAGGAAAGGAGAGCCCAAGGGCTGCATGCTGGATGGAGCCCTTACCCAATCTGTGTTAGCTCAGACTGTGACCTCGCAACTTAGTCACCAAAAGTGTGGCTGCGCAGCCCACAGCACCAGTCTCTGTCTCTGTGTCCTTAGTTTGAAAATTGTTTGCCTGTAGGCTGAAAGTGCTCCTGATTTTAGCATTTGTTTTTAGCCTACATCTGCCCACTCCTCCTGCAGGCAAAGCTGTTTGCATAGAGTTGATTGGAAGTGAACAAGCCAGAAGGAAGTGCTACCCTCACAGCAGCAGCGTGGTGGCGGTTTCTCCTCTGAACATTAGCTCAGAGCTACTCTTTCTGCTTCTCCTCACAGCACGCACAGCACCGCATAGCAGTGGTGTTGGCCGTGTTGCCCTCTCTGCTCTGCTCTTTTATGACATTACGGTCCTATCCAGTCCTCCCACTGGAAAAAAAAATGGTTTTGGATTTAATGTATTGCTGACTAAATTTTTTCTCATTTTCCTCAGATGAATGAATGAGTGCTTGAATTGAACCAAGGATACACATTTGATATTCTGCTCTGCCTTACACAACAGATGCCTCCCATTACTGAATTTTGAAGGAGCTATTTAGAAAATAATAAAACTAACAGCTAAGCACTGATTTTTTTTGTCTGTGTCTTGCATCATTGCCAGCTTTACTGTAATTATGTCATTCAAGGGAAGATTCTAACCATTTCCTTTCTCCAGTCCTTTTGAGTTTCAAAGGCTCAATAAAAATTCTGGCCTGATTTCTAAGGGAGTAAATAATATACAAGTTTAAAAATGGCTTCACATGAACTCATTATGGATTTTGTAAAGTTTGTTGAGTGAGATCGTGAATGGAACCAGAAAGGAAGCAGCTCAATCAACCAGGGTCACACACAGTCAATGGAGAGGACACTAAAATTAATCAATGAGAGCCAATGAAAGGCCTAATAATAAAGAAAGGGACTGTTGGATTCATATTAATTTTTTGGTACTATCTTTCTTTGGAAGAACATACACAGTTATTGTTTCACCTGGTTAAGAAGTCTGTGGAAGGAGTTTAGAAGTGACATCAACAATAATCCAGTTCTGTGACCCCAGAGAGATGAGTCTCCCATCTTGGGGGTATCAGCTGTAGCTCAGAAATTCCAATCATCTTAAACTCTCAACAGTTCATTGAAGAAATTTCCATTTGGGCCAGTGATGAAGTTTAGTAGTAAAGTCCTTGTCTAACATTCCTAAGACCCAGCAAAAAAAAGAAATTCCACTTGCTTACTGGCGATGTACACCTCAGAGCTACCGGGTTGAACTTCCCAGGAGACAGAATTGCTCTATCTTCATGTCCAATACCACAGGCACTAACCATCAGAGGCTACTGAGCATTGACATGTGAATAGTAAAAATGGGGAGCTGAAATACTACTTTAATTTTGTCAATATATATTTACCAGCCCTATATGTGCTACCATGTTGGGTAGCACAGTTCTAGAACTTCTCCACAATGTTTGAACTTCCTGGGCTACAGGGTTAGCGATCAAACTTTGGTTGCCTTAAGGGACAGCCCAAGCAAAGAAGTAATCATCATTCCAATTCTGATTTCGTTTATAATCTGAAAAGTTCCTTTTTCTCTACTCCAACAAAGCCAAAACATTCTGGAAGGCAGGAGACTTATTGCATACCTCCTGTTCTTTTTACCATCCTATTGCACAGATCAGCTGGCAGGTTCAACAAGATCAGCAGATCAGAAGCTTCAATACAGAAGATTCATTCATATTTAAATTATTAATGTTCTGCTGGGAAGAATGACTTGATTTCATGTTAGCGTTCTTTAAATGTGTAAACTAATATGAAATGCTTATTATCTGTAAAGATCATATACACATTTGATATTGACAAGACACCCTTGGACTCACCACCCGGTTAACATTCCTGTGTTTTCCAATAGCAATCTTGGAGTCTGCACCAGGGGATCGAGCAGGAATGGAAAGTTTCCCCACAGCTGATGCCACAGAGATGTCACCTTGCAGATCCCCCTCGACTCCCCGGCACCTCCGCTATCGCCAGCCTGGAGGTGAGACCTCAGAAACAGACTCGGAAATAGAAAACTCATCTACATTTTTTCTTTTGCTGTACTGGTTCACTCCCAATATACTGTTTTGTCTCTTATAAAAATTACCTAGAGGGATTGGAGAGATGGCTTAATAGCTAAGAGGACTTGCTGGTCTCACAGAAGACCCAGGTTCTGTTCCCAGCACCTACATTGGGGAGCTCACAACTGCCTGTAACTCCATTACCAAGGATCTGGCACTCTCTTTTGGCCTCCATGGGTGCCTGCATGCATGTGCTGCATATGCATACACTCAGGCACACACACACATACACATAAAATAAAGATAAATTAATTAACTGGAAGCAGATAATGTTACATAGGACTGAGGAGTGAAAAATCAATAATTAGGAAGTCTTTCACCTCAGTCTAGCTAATACTGTTTGGTTATTGCACTGTGTTCTGTGCAGAATGAGACCAATGAAAAGCCTGTCCTCAAGGTATGGCTAGTTGAAGGATCTCAGCATTGATTTTACCAAAACACGGCTAGATTCTGCTTTCTTACATGAATCCCAGTGTAACCTATGTGAGTAGGCTTGGGGAGACCTTAATAGTAACTTAAATTTCCCATAAATTAAGGTCCAGTTGAATGGGGCCTATCATTGCTAGTGGTAGGACCTGGTATATTTCTTCATTATACAGTTATGAAAATTACGATGCATGATCCTGTAATTTGTTTTGAAACACGACAAATGTCCTCTAATTAGAAGGAAAGAGTATCAGCACAAAAAGAAGAAATAGTTTATCTTCCCATTTTCTGCTATCATTGCTCAAATAAATATATCCAAATAAGACTTGTTTTGAGGGCTGGGGAGATAGCTTAGAGGAACTGATTTCAATCCCCAGAAATCATGTTTAAAAAAATAGTTATCTTGAAATGCCTTCTCCCATCCCCTTCCCATGCCACTTATTTCAAGTAAGAAGAGAAAGTTATGAAACCAGAGTCACAGTCCCCTCCCCAAGTCACCCAAGCAAAACACAGAGCATGTTTTGTTTCTTGTGTTAAGCTTCAGCTAGAGCATTTTGACAAAAGTTAAAAGTGCATGTCTCCAAACTGCCATTCAGTTGTGGCCCCAGCCACTTGATGGAAGCGGTCATTATTAGCCCTTGGTTCTGAGGGCAGCAAGAAGGGTCTGGATTAGGCTCTAGTCAGCTTTGCCTTGATGGATTCTAGCCCTCAGGGCATTCAGACTCCGAGGGATTGTTGATCACCCTAGCAGGTGGGTGGTCCTGGCAAGTGAAAGGGGGAGGTTAGACTTTCCTAATTTACCACATGATTGCTCTGGAATTAGCCAAGTCTTTCCACTGTTCCTAAGGCTTTGGATGACCTAGGACTTGGCACTTTCCTTGATAATTGCCACAGTGTCTCTCTTCAAGTTTATTGCCACCTGGAAAAGTACAGGATCAGAGGAGGGAAGGAAGGCTTCACCCATGCAAGGGTTAAATACTATTCATGCTGCTACTATTAGAGCTTTGCATTCATGTGTATATATTCACATACAGAATTTTAATTGATGTAGGAATTTATTATTTATTATATATTATAGACTCTTAGGAACATAGGAAGGAAACTAGAATCCTGTTTGGATGGTGGATCCAAATAGGAGAGTGCCTCACATTTTCTTGTCTAGGCAGTAATTTCTTTGTTCACCTATACACTTGTTACCCACTTTCATATTTAGGCATATTTAGAAACTTTTTGCTTCAGCTATCTATCTATCTATCTATCTATCTATCTATCTATCTATCTATTCATCTATCTATCTATCATCTATCTATCTATCTATCTATGTATCTATCTATATATCTATGTATCTATTATCTGTCTGTCTGTCTGTCTATCTATCTGTCTAGCTATTCTATCATCTATCTATCTATCATCTATCTATCTATCTATGTATCTATCTATATATCTATGTATCTATCTATTATCTATCTGTCTGTCTGTCTGTCTATCTATCTGTCTATCATCTATCTATGTATCTATCTATGTATGTATCTATCTATGTATCTATCTATCTATGTATCTATCTATCCATCCATCTATCTATCTATCTATCTATCTATCTATCTATCTATCTATCTATCTATCTATCTATCTATCTATCTATCTATCTATCTATCTATCTATCTATCTATCTATCTATCTATCTATCTATCTATCTATCTATCTATCTATCTATCTATCTATCTATCTATCTATCTATCTATCTATCTATCTATCTATCTATCTATCTATCTATCTATCTATCTATCTATCTATCTATCTATCTATCTATCTATCTATCTATCTATCTATCTATCTATCTATCTATCTATCTATCTATCTATCTATCTATCTATCTATCTATCTATCTATCTATCTATCTATCTATCTATCTATCTATCTATCTATCTATCTATCTATCTATCTATCTATCTATATCTATCATCTATCCATCATCTATCTATCTATCATCTATCAATCTATCATCTATCTTCTATCATCGATCTGTCATCTATATCATCCATCTATCTATCTACCTATCATCTATCTATGTATGTATCTATCATCTACCTACCTATCTATATCATCCATCTATCTATCTATCTATCTATCTATCTATCTATCTATCTATCTATCATCTATCTATCTATCTATCTATCTATCATCTATCATCTGTCATCTATCTATTTATCCATCTATCTGCCACCTATCACCTATCCAACTATTTAGTTTATTATCTATTTATTTACATATTTATTTACAGCACGACTATAAAATTTCAGTGGTGAGGTGTTAAAAACTTTCAGATAAGAATCATAGCATACTGTTTTCCTAAGAGTAGGGAAACACAATGGTGCTGGTATCAGCATTTCCCAATGCTATGTGAACAGTACAGTCTGAGAAGGGAAAGTGCCTGCAGAGGCTACTCATTACATTTTTTCATTTTAAAAAAGACACTTTTTAAACATGTATTTATTTACTGGGAGGGAGGGGAATATGTGCGTGCTGTGGTGTGCATGTGAAGATCAGAGGACAAGTCCTGGGAGATGGTTCTCTCCCACCATCATGTGGGTCCTGGGGAATCAAGCTCAGATCATCATGCTTGGCAGCAACTGCCTTCACTTGCTGAACCTCACTTTTCTGACCCTCAGTTGTGTGTGTGTGTGTGTGTGTGTGTGTGTGTGTGTGTGTACATGTGCATTCAAGTGTGCATGCCTGTACATGCATGTGTGGAAGACAAAGGTGGATGTCAGGTGTATTCCTCTATCCCTCTCTACCCGATTTTTTTGATAGGTCCTCTTACTAAACCAGAAACTCACTAATTTTCCAGACTGACTAGTCAGCTGGCTCTGACTAGTCTCACCTCTTAGTGCTGGGATTACAGCTGTGTGCTGTCATGCCTGGCTTTTTTAAGTGGGTGCTGGGGATCTAGACTCAGATACTCATGCTTGTGCAATAAGCACTCTGCCCACTGAAGCATCTTCCCAGACCCACATTCTTTCAATTTTATATATTTATTTTATTTGTTTTTAGTGTATTTTATACAGAATATTTCAAACACTCTTAATCATCTTTTTACTCCCATCCCCACTGGCATCCTCCCATAGCCCCTCCCCACTGGATCCCATGTACTCTGTCATCTGGGTTAAGGCCCAATGTGTCAAGTCAGTGACCCCAGATGTTTCCCAGAGCAAGTCCATCCACTGAGGTATAGTTAGCCTATCTAGAGTCTCTTGTTTTAGGAAGATCAGCTCTTCCTCACATAGCAGCAATCAGTTGTCAGTGTTTCTTCAGCTAAGATTGGGGTCTGCTGTTTATTTCCCCAGTTCTATGCTAGGTTATTGTCTGCCTAAGTTTGCATGGGACTTGTGTATGCTGCCATAGAATCATATGAGGAAGGTCCCAGGAGCTTGTAGGACTCTGTCTCCATATGGTCATGCACCTCCTCCCTGTCTCTTACAATCTTTCCACCCCTCTTCCTTGATGGTCTCTGATCCCTGGGTGGGTGGAGTTTAATATAGGAATCCTGTCCAAGGACCGGCAATCTGCAAACTCTTAATCTCTACGCTTTGGCCATTTGTGACCTTTTGTGTTCCTGGTTCTCTGTTGCATAAGGGATCTTCATTAATGAGAATTGAGAGATTCCTTAGTGTCGTCTTCATCACCCCTGTTCTATGTTCTGTGAGCCTCATGTGTAGAGGTTGCATTGTAGATGTGTCTCTTAGGCCTGGGCAATTCATAGACAATGTCTGTGTGTGACTAGTTGTGGTACTTGGTAATAGTCTCTGATTACCAAGTACGATTGGTGTAAAGTAAGCTTCTTTGATGAGTGGTGACTGGAATGTTTGTCTATAAATACAAAGATACATCTTTTGCATATAGCACAGGTATAGCATAGTTTTTAAAAACACTAAACGTTCAGAACAAAGAGAGAACACTGAAAGCTGCAAAAGAAATCAACAAGTCACATATAAAAGAAAACCCATCAGAATTACAGCTGACTTTTCACTGCAAACTGTGAAAGCAAGAAGAGCTTAAACCAAAGTATTCCCAGTTCTAAATGACCGCAGATGCTAACTCAGAATACTTTGCCCAGCAAAGATGTCTATTATAGTTGAAGGGGAAAGAAAAATCTTCCATGACATAAATAGGCTGAAGGAATTCTTGTCCACAAAACCAGCCCTTCAGAGAGTTCTGGGAGCAATACAAAGAGCTGAAGAAAGGAATGACTATACCCAAGGGGTAACAGAAATAAACTAAATGAAGGTATAACTGTGGAAACACAGACCAAGAATGCAAACAGAAATTAAAATGAAATTCTTTCAATTTTAAAAGGGGTACACTTTACCCATCCCTGTTTTGGGGAAGTGAAATCAAAGTCTTCACATATGATAGGCAAACATTCTACCTCCAACCCTAAAGTTGTTTTGAAAATGAAACTCTACTAATAACATGATTTAGAGTATTCCTTAAATGTTTTTATGTTGTGATATATAATTCATTTACTATAAAATTTCTCTTTTTTTAAAGCGTGTAGTTTAGTGGGTTTTACATATTCACAAGTTCAGGCAGCCATAACCACTATTTAATTTTAGAGCCATAACCACTATTTAATTTAAGTTTCATGATCCAAAAAGAAATCCTATATCCATCAACAAGCTCTCTCTGTTCTTATCTCATCCAGCCTTGGAACCACTCACCTGTAATCTCTGTGTTTTTATTTACCTATTATTGATGCTTAGTAACACAGGAATCATTCAGTATGGGGCTGTTTATGATGAGCTTTCACCCAGCAGAGTGCTTTCCAGGCTCATCTGTTCTCCAGTGTGTATCAGAACTCTACCTCTTTCTGTAAATGAATGTTTTCTTTTTTCTCTATTTGTCAGCTAATGGACATTTAATTGTTTCTACTTTTTGATTACAGTGAATGATGCTTTTATGAATATCCATATACACATTTTGCATGGACATATGTTTTCATTGTTATATGCCTAAAACAGAATTGATAATGAATAACCTTGCTATTTGCCTATTAACAGGGACAGAACAGGGCATTTGGCTCAACCCTTCATCCAGTACAGATAATAAAATGAAAATTTTAATTACAGAGTATTATCTTTGTGCCTCACCATTCCATTTCCTTTCTTTTTAAATAACCAGGACAGGTAGCTGACAATGCCCACTGCTCTGTTTCACCAGCTTCTGCTTTTGCAATTGCCACAGCTGCAGCAGGCTATGGGAGTCCACCAGGTAAGCCTGCTGGCCGGGGACAGACATGTGGCAAGTCCTACTAAATTGGTGGCCCTTGGCTGCCAGGGTGTCAGAGGATGATGCTGGGCACTCCTGTTCTGATTTAGAAATGCTATTTTTGCAGTTGTTGTTGTTGTTTGTTTTTGCAGTTTTGGGGATGAACCTAGAGGATACTCTGCTAAATGAAGTAAGCGAGGCACAGAGAGATAAATACCGCATGGTGTCAATTATATTTGGAATCTAAAAATGTTGAACTCATAGAAGCAAAGAGCAGAAGGGTGGTTATCAGGGATGGGTGGGACACAAGGGAAAATGGGAGACACTGACTGCAGCAACAAAGATTCAGTTACAGAGGGAGGTAAGTTCTGGAGATCCATTGTGTAGTATGATGACCACAGTTAATGATTCATTGTGCACTTGAAAATCCTGAGCGGGGGTTTTAAATGCCTTTGCCACAAAAAGTGGGTGATAGATATATTCACTAGTTTGATTTAATCACTGCACTGTGTACACATATATCAAAGCAGCATGTTGTACCCTAAGAACATGGGCAATAGAAATAGGCAAAGCAAGCATCAGGTGAGTGTCACACAGGTGATCTGGGAGTCGTGCTTCTTAAAACTCTATTGGAGATTCTTTTTCTTTTTCTTTTTCTTCTTTTTTAATTTTTGAGAATTTCATACATGAGCATTGCATTTACATTATTTCCACACCCCCAACCCCGTCCAATTCCTTCTATGCCTCCCACTCCCTTTTCAGTTTCTTGTCCTCCTCTTTGATTATTATACACACACACACACACACACACACACACACACACACATAAATGCACTGTGTCCATTTAGTGGTACGTCTGTGTACCCCTGTTCAGGGCTGCTCTGGGTTAGATGACCTCTCAGGAAGCTAGTCCCTGGAGAAAACTGATTCTTCCACCCTCAGCATCCATTGACTGCCTATACTTCTTCATCTTAAGGTGGAACCCCATGAAATTTTCCCCATCCACCTTGGAATGTCAACTTTTTTTTTTTCATTATGAAGATCTTGCTAGACTATCATACTGTGGAGATTCACTGGTGCGCCTTCCCTATTATGTCTAGAATGCATTAACTCCACAAGTGTCTTGTCCCTCTGGCTCTTATAATCTTTCTCTCTCTTTTGAGATGTTCCCTGATCCTTAGGTGTAGAGGTTGCATTGTAGATGTGTTGCTTAAGGCTGGGCACCTCACAGTCACTTATTTTTTATATTTTGACCAGCTGTAGAACTTTGTGCTAGTCTCCATCTGTTATAAACAGAAGCTTTTTATGATGAATGATGAGAGGTATAATTGGCTGTGAATATACGGGTATGTATTTACGATACAGAAATTATGTTGGGCTAGAGAAGTGACAGAAGCAGGTTCTTCTCTAGTGTCTGTGACCTCTCCAGCCTTGTGCACTTGACCATGTTTACAGTACCATGCATGGATTCCCTCCTATTGGGCAGGCCTTAAGTCCAATTGGATAGCTGTTGATTACCCCTGTGCTGGATAGCTTTAGTGTCAACTTGACACACCTGGGTTGAGGGAGCCTCAATTGGGGAACTGCCTCCATAGGACTGGCCTGTGGCCCTGTCTGTGGGGCATCTTCTTGATTGTTGAGTGATGTTGGAGGGCCCAGCCCCCTGTGGGCACCCCTGGGTAGGTGGACCTGTGTTGCATAAGAAAGCAGGCTGAGCAGGGGCCAGGGGAGCAAGCCAGTAAGCAGCATTCCTCCATGGCCTGTGCTCCAGCTCCTGCTTCCAGGTTCCTGCCCTGAGTTCCTACCTTGGGCTCCTTGATGAACTGTGACCTGGGAGATGTAAGCCAAAAAACCCTTTTACTCCCCAAGTTGGTATTGGTCAGTGTTTTGTCACAGCAATGAAGAAACAAACTACAACAATCCCCAAGATAAAAGTGCCACTATTTCACCATAGAGATAATTTGCTGAGTTGTCATTGTGGTTCGAGGGCTTTACAGCTGGGTAGGACCATTGATTGGTCTTCTTTCTTGACAGCTTGCTTAGTATCTTCTGAAGCTATGAGAGCTAGTCTTCAGGAAGGAGGCTCCCAGGTAAGTTCCAGCTCATTTGTGCAGGAGGATATGTGATTAGCCCTATGCTGTTTTATGCTGTTCGTCAGCCCTTTTGCCACATGGCTAAGATGTATTTCCTTTTCCCAAGTCTGAAGCACGTGTGAGATATGGGGGGGCATGGTGGCCCAAGCTCCCTCATGGCTCACTTCCACTTGCTCCACAGTTCCTTCTGAATTGTCACCAGTCAACCTCAGGGCAAAGGAATACTTAAAATAAAAGCCTAGCACTTTAATAGATGAAAATTTTCTTTCTCCCTTCCTTCCTTCCATTTTCCTTCCTCACTCCCTCCCTCCCTTTTCTTTCCTTCTTTCTTTCTTTTTTCTTCCTTCCTTCCTTCTTTCTTTCTCTTTCTTTCTTTCTTTCTTTCTTTCTTTCTTTCTTTTCTTTCATCTTTGTCCTTTTCTCTCATAGGCTGATTATAAATCAGTTCCCTCAGATTATTTCATGATAGCCACACAAAGCTGAATGATACAGAATCCAATCCAAATAATTCTTAGAATCACAACAGTTATAGGACATTTGTACTTTGGTGAATGGAGGTGGGAGTATTGATGACCATCAGTCAGCCATTAGCCATATTTCTTCTAAGTGAATCACAATGAAAAGCAGCAGCAAATGCCATAAGTCAAAACAGTTGACCAGGCATTAATACACAGATTCCTGCTGGGCATGGTAGTGCACACCTTTAATCCCAGCACTCGGGAGGTAGAGGCAGGCAGATCTCTGTGAGTTCAAGGCCAGCCTGGTCTACATAGTGAGTTCCAGGACAGCTGGAGCTACAGGGAGACCCTGTCTCAAAAAAAGACCCCCCCAAAATTCACAGATTCCTGTGGAAATTAATTGGTAATAGTTTCTAAAGTAGAATAATATCATATTGCCACTCTGATTTTTATCTATACTGTCAAATTGTGCAGATGCTGAGTCCCACTCGCATGGTGTCTGAGTCAGTGGTACTGCTTTAACTCTATATAAGAATTGATGGGGACCTTGTGTACTGCCACACTGGTTGGGATGTTATTTGCAGGTATCCATCAAAGCTTTAGAAGAAATTTCAATGGAAATTAAGGTGTGTGCATTTCCAATGGCTGTTGATATAGAGAATCTGCAGGTGCAGCTTGGATATGATTATACTCTGAACAGAAATACAAATCCAATGAGAAAACGTATCAGGGCACATGATGGTGCTTATTATAAACCTGAAACTGGAGCCTTCATTGCAGAGTTTATCAAATGATCTAAATGAAGTATGGAAAGTGTGAGGTGGGTTATTTTTATGGAAGTAGAAATAATGGCAGTGGAGGTACTATAAGGAACTCTTGATTATCTGTGGGAAGATTACATATTTCATAGTTCTGTGAGAGTCAAAGTAAATTAGCAAAGTAGAGGAATGGTTGGGTGTACTTATAGGAAAATTAATGGTACCACTATGATTGCTTAGAGAAACAGTGGATCCTTTGTTGGTGATTACCTTATACTTATAGTCTAGATGATTCCTAGTCTGTTTTCTACATCTTTTAAACAGTCATTTGATGTGTAGTCAGTTCATGTGCAGACTTTGTATCGATTGGGTTTGGAGCAATTTTTGTTAAAAAAAAATTCTTCATCCCATACCCAGACTTGTAAGAGAAATATCCTGGGAATCAGGATATGGATGTGGATCCAAGATGGAAAATCACTGGACTAGATGGAGTACGTATTTGAGTATGTGTGTGTGTGTGTGTGTGTGTGTGTGTGTGTGTGTGTGTGCATGCACACACACATATATATGTACACACACATATATATATATATATTATTGAGATATTATAAGTTAAGGGTAAAATGTGACTGTTCCCAAATTTCATAATAGATTCTGATGTAGATAGATTTTGTGATTATTGAACTAATTTAAATCAAGAGAATGTTAAAATTTCTGGGTGGTTCGAACTCACTTCTCTAGGCAGTTAGAAGTTATGGTTTGATTTCATTCTGTATCTAA